TTTTGCTACCATGCACTTTTGCTACCATGCACTTTTGCTACCTTGCACTTTCGCTACCAATCATGGTACTTTCGCTACCATTTGAAGTCCATTTGCTACCAAAGGGAAATGCAAACCAATAACATAAAAAACCTTCTTACACTGTAGTAATGCATTATAAAAACATTTGTAAAGCAGTTTTTAATGAGTTTTGGGCACTGACCGTGACACGATCGCGATACGATCGATCAAACAAAGTTCGAGTCTCGCCACTGACACTAGAAAGCACGCGTTGAATACCGTTCCCTACCAAAGAGGACTGCAAACCAATAACATAAAAAAACTTACTAAACTGTAGTAAAGCTTTATAAAATTTTTTGTAAAGCAGTTTAGAATATGGAAAATCACGACACCACACGACCGATCAAGCATGAGTTGAATTCATTKAATGTTTGAGACGATCCAACGGGAAGGATGTTGAGCTGTGAAAACAGAAAAATTAGCCAATCGCGGATATCTTTGCATTTGAGTACGAACCGCAAATTACAGATCTGTCAAAARTTGCCTTTCTGCGCGTGAAAGATTTTCATGTGCAGAATAGCACGCTAATAAAATTGTGTTGATTGGGATACCCTATAAAAATGCGTCAAAACTACGAAACACAAGATGGCGGACGCGAGAGTGTTTCCTGTGCTTCAGAACGCTCATATTTCTTTGACCACCAGCTTTTCAGTTTGATTGTGATTGGTGATAGAGAGCAAGTAATCTGCGAACCCTATTCAATATGTCCATGGTCTTTAGAGGAACATTGACTCATCAATCATCATGGTAAACGATGCTGTTTTGGGGGCAACCATATTAACAGTCGTGGCAAAAATCGATGCGAATGGTTGCTTCGTATTTTGAGCAGATATATCTTTTGATTTTAAAGTTGATACCTGAAACGATACAAATAGTAGTTTATTCAGGACGCAAATAATCAGTTACATACAATAAAATCGTAGTAAGACGGAAAACAAAAACCGACCCGCAGCAAAATAAAACAAATGAAATAAGCACTCCTAAAGGAAGTTTGGAGGTTAGCCCTGTGTGAAAACTCCCTAAATGCGAATATAAAAGCAGCAAGAAAGTAACTTTTGCAAGTCGATCGAGAGACAAGAAATTAACTTTTGCAATTCGTTTAACAAGTCATTGTTGTAAGTCGTTAGTTAATTTTGACCATAATAAGGCGCCATATACAAAATCTTTCATTGTTTGTGTTGGGCTTGGTGACGTGATATTGATGGTTTTGTTTACGCYGTTTGAAGTCAGAGGCTTTCCAATAGCAGAATATTTATGTTCGTCAATGCGTTGATGTAAGTGTCGGGCACTGTATCCGACATAATCTGCATCACACAGATCACACTTGAACTGTAAACAACACATTGCCGGTTTGTTGACTATGGCGGGTTTAACTTCCTTGACTTTTAGGACTTGGCCAACTTTCTGACTCGTAAAAAAGGTCTGATGCCGACAGCAATGATCTGATTCTAAACATTTGATTCTAGAGATGCAGTTTCAGTCAGCAGATCTTAGTTGATCTATCATGGCATCTTTTTTTCTCTCTGTCATTTCAATTTACAATAACAAGTGGAACGAGCCTAGGCTTTGTTGCATTTACGTTATTATTATTATTATCATCATCATCATCACCATCCTCCTCCTCCTCCTCCTCCTCCTCCTCATCGTCGTTGTTCGAATGATATGTGCAGTTCCAAATAGTGCGATTTTTTTGCAGTTCGGCGATTTCTATGTTTCCTGTAGTTACTTGACATTCCTATCTAGACACCGATTTACAAGGCCTAGTGCCCCAATAACGATGGGTATAGTTATCGTTTCCATTCTCCACATTTTTCTCACTTCGATCTCTAGATCCTTATACTTAGATAGCGGCCACCCTCAGTTGACATTTACATTAGCCAATCAGCGGTTTTTAAGCCGTGTCGTTGATTGGCTAATTTAGCTCTGTTTTGACAGATCATTTTTTTCCCGGTGGGTTGGTCTCAAACGTAACTGATAATAACGTAATATTATGCCGTTAGAATCGAAATAGATCCAGGGAGACAAAGGCCAAAGTGAGACTGGGTAAAAAAGGGGAGGGTGCRAGGGGAAAGAAAATAGCCCGCTCTTTAAAACTTCTTTCTATTCTTTTTCCTCAATACTTTTCCAGTTACCAGTTTCGATACTCTTTATCTCGCCGGTTTGGGCAACCAACAATGCGTTAATTGCAGATTACTTGACATATACTCTTGCGTATCATTTGGCCAACCAAATCATCTCCCGTGGGATTCTTTGGCCAGTTTTAATAGCAACGTTTTGAAGCTGGAACGAAATCGGGAAGTTTCGCTGTTCGCGCTCAAATACAAATAGCTTTAATATTCTGGTCATTAATCTTGCAGGACGTTATACCTACATGCATACAACAAGGAGACCAAAGATTGATGATCAGGTCGTTGAAGTGAGAAGAAGTTTGGATAGGAGAGATTATGAGGTAAATTCTAATGCTATCCCTATTTTTTGATGCTATTCCTAAGTGATTATGAGTCTTTTGAGCCAGACCAAATTGGATTTAGTTAGGCCTACGGCTAAAAAAGAGAGCTACTTCATAAGCAGCTACAGTGAGTGCTTCAACGCTTCAACCGAATAGCTCTATATTTTAACTGCACTGTATTGTCCCTTGATAAACCCTCCTCTAGAACAGCTAAAAAGCTTCTTTTCATGTTCTGTGACTTTATTAAAGCTTATTTTCTTTGTATTAAGCTTATATTCATTCTTTTTAAGTTTTCTGACCTTCACATAACAATGCAGCTTGGAGGATTTCGGTATACTTCGACAAAAACTTTTGTAGACAAACGCCTTTAGCTTTCTGCTCTTGTTTATCAGACGTTTCAGAGTTCGTACTGGAATTCTACTGGGTTCACGGTCATGTCTATGTACACGATGATGCTTATTTGACTCAAGATCAGATAGTTCATTTGATCTTTGTTATATGTACGTTCATGGTTCACGATAAAAGGTTCACGATCATTCACGATAAAAGGTTCATTCGTAATGGTTATCTCATGAAATTCGCGGACCGACCCGTTACGAAAACGCTCTACATCTTTTATTGTGGGTCTACCGCGAAAAGTGTGTGCTCATAGCTGATTCTACGCATACGCATACTTTGATTTCGCGCAGCGCTTTACCGCTTCGAGGGCGATTTGTGACTGATGGAAAAAAAACGAAGCCCAATTTATACCTCGGGCGTTCCTTTGGAAGCCYGAGTAATWAAAGTAATTAATTCAAATTTTATTAAAACCAGGAAAAACCTGATTTCAGGGCACAGCTAACTTACAGATCGAATTGGAATTTAGCTTGCTAATAGCAAAGTAAGGAAAAGTGGAGAACCCCGGGAAACCCTCAAATCAAGGGAGAGACCTAACAAACTCTGATCACCTGTGATCCGGCTAAGAACAACAGAAAGAAAGAGAACAAACAAGCAAATCTAACTTACATGCATAAGACACGGAGTTCAGAAATTGAAGTCAGATTGCCTTGGTTAGAGGCAAGGACTTTTACCGATATGGGACCACCCAAGCTTCCCTTATCTCTGATTCATATCATCTTGATGAACCATAATTTTCACAAAATGCAAAGACTGTACCACGCCTTTTTGCTTATTTGCATGTGTTGTTTATAACAGTTATTGCTGGCACAGAGGGATGAAAACAGGCAGTCTGTGTACAAGAAGCGAAGGTGTTTTTTATGGAAAAACCAGTATTACCAGTTAGACGTCTACCGAGAGCCATATCATGCCAGGTGAATGACATATCTGACACTTTGCTTAACATTGTCATACTTGCTGCAATCTTACCTTGTAACTCTGAGACTCAGAGTTACGAGGGAAGAAAGTGGGAAAAAAGCAAGCGCCCAAGTCGTGAGAGGTCGACTTATTTCTCTTTCAGGATTTTCATTTGCGTTTCCTCTTGATAATGGCGTGTATTTCTGTAGCGCTCGCTAAATTTTCGAACGTTGATAAAGAATATGATCTTCATAGCGGCCTTTCTGTTTAGATATGATCAAAGACGCTTTACGTTGAGTTGTGAAATGTCAGATTGCGTTTTATGCAATTTACVAACATAAGAGATGGTTAGTATGARGTGTAGGCACTGAGGATAGTCAGTATACAAACATAAGAGATGGTTAGTATGAGGTGTAGGCACTGAGGATAGTCAGTATACAAACATAAGAGATGGTTAGTATGAGGTGTAGGCACTGAGGATAGTCACTGCCAAGTTTTCTTTACGTCCTCAGTGTTTCTTTTACGTCCCTCCGATATTGGTTGGAGTAATGATTAAATTCTGTAGAGTCAAGAGAAAATGAACTAGTTCATATTCTCTTGGAGAGTATTACAAAGGCAGAACTTTCTCCTCAGTTATTTTAAGACCCTGAGTGTTGGTCCGGCCTCGAACCACTACCTTCCGCACRAAAGTCCGACGATCAACCAATTGAGCCAACCGGTTGGCGAACATAATTCAACTACCCGGTTTTGGTTCGCTAAAATTGACAGAAAACAAGTTGTAACACAGGAGCACGGCGGAAACTAAATTCTTACGATTTGCTCTTTTCATCTAACYGTTGTGACGTACAGAGCTCCAAGTTCTCTTGTAAATTTAAGTGAAATTTGCTTTCCTGGCTATTGAGATCTTGGAAATAAACGAAGTTACTATCGATATCGTTATTGTCAAGATTTCTCCCACTTACAAGTTTATATTTAATGAATTACGCAAACTCGTACAAAACATTTGAAACCTATACAGGTGTTCAGAAAGCTTCCTTATAACTTCACTTTGGCTATTCTCACTACATAATGGACCTCCTTGGCTCGGACGTAATGTTGTCCCATTTCAGACCACGTGTTATTCTTTSCTTAACGGTTGCGCTCGGTTGCACATGAGAAGACACATGAATATGGATACAACTTAAACAAAGACTCTCATTCTCAAGTGAATGACACGTGGTCTGAAATGGGACAACATTACGTCCGAGCCGAGGAGGTCTATTAATGAGCACAAAGCCGTATACACTTATTTCAATAAAGTTAGTCACCAAAAACCTAGAAAGCTGAGATCACTGAGCATCACGGGAAACTTTTCATATCAAAAAASCATATATATACAAAGCTTTTTTAATACAAACTTTAGCTCGATGATGCTCAGAAGAGTTGAGATTGTAACCGGTAAGAGATTCGCAAGTCCATGAACAGTTATCAAGTGGTTGAACGTGTAAAATGAATCTACCCATATTCCTTGTCGGCCTCAGCTTTATAGCTTTTCAGGTGACTAGCTTTATTGAAACTAGTGTATACTTATTCTCTGTAAGAAGGCATGACTTGGTTTAAGGCTTGTTTTTAAATCAAAAATAGTCGAAATTTGGTTGCAATTACACATTGTGAAAAGCCGCGAATTTTGAAGGGTGGCGCGTATGACGGCACTTCCTTCGAATCACTAAACGTTGCCAGGAACGCAATCGCTTAATGGCGGACTCAAACGGCCAAACTTTACCGGCTAAATACAACATCTTCCCAGTCKCGTATCGAAAAAGAATTTGGACCGAGTAAGCTATATTACATATCTAGTTTTATATGGTACAATTTCCAGGGATGGTGTAATTTTCGTAAGACTAGAACTTTAAGGTGGAACCAAACTAATTCAGAGCGAATTTTGGACAATTTTATTCTCGCTCCCTTTGCAAAACTAGTGCGTCAATTTAACTGGATTTTTCATATAAAGTGCTTGGATTATCCTAGATTCTAACAATGTATTTTATTTTAAGATTTTAAAAGTGTTTAGCCTATTACGGCCGAAAATAAAACAGTGCTATTCTGACATTTTCAGAATCTTATCATCTAGTACTATTGCGGCCTGTGCATAAATTTAGATGGAAAGTCTTGGGCAGAAAAAAGTTATGACGCCGCTTGAAAAYTCGATCCAAAATTTTAAGCATATAAGAAATCGCGCTGTAGAAACATTCTCATTGAATGAATTACCTCGAAGTTTTCATATACGTATATCCAAGTATTGCGGATGAGCCTTACGAAAAATCAGCATCAAATCTTAAAAACTCATTGAAAAAATGTTTTTTACTAATTGTCGTTGTAAAACTCAAATATGAGAGTTTTGCTAAAAATCACATTTTCGCCGATTGTCTTGCCGAGCAGTTGCCGAGTGGTGAACGTGTTATTGCTAGTGCGCATACTATTCTGATTCGATGTACTAAATCTTCAAAGGCTCTAATCGCATGGTTATTATTCAGAACAAGGCAATGCGTAGTCGGCCTTGAAAGACGTAGCATGGTGGCAATATTGCGTGTAAGGCCAACCGGGAGAGTAAAGAAAGCCTTAAAACGAATTATGTCTAATACACTCATGTCACAAAGTAACACACATGCTATTCGCGGTAGACCCTGGTGATCGTGGTTATTTATACTATTAGGAAAGTTTTACGGGACTAGAGTTAGTGGCGGATAAAAATTTCTAAATTAATAGAAACAGAATAAACTGCACAATTTTTTTCTAAATTACAGACAATGTTAATGCCATAATATAGCAATATCTAATAACCGCTCTTGAAGTACTTCCATATTTCAGTAATATTTCATCCACACTTGAATTTGAATGCATTTGTGGACAGGAGATTGGGCAGTACCTTTTTTAATTGAGTCGAAAGTGTGCAGTCTTCATGACTTCAGCCATTGTGCATATGGYGGCCTGCTTCAAACAGTCAAAATGTTAAAAAGTGACGAAAAAATTTCCATGTTCAGCGAGCCGTCATTTTTCAAAGCTTCTTATTCATTTCTGGAGAAATTTTGAGGTTTTTTYCCCAATAAAAGGTAGGAAAACAAACGGAAGGCTGTAGTATTTTTCATCTTGCATGGTTTKGAATATCTTGAAGTCTAAAGGAAGTTTGAAGTACAATTGATTTCTTCTCAAGCTCAWGTTGAGTTCTTGAGGTCTTCTTTTGATGCCTTTTTAACTCGTGGGTACGCGAAGCGTAGAAACGAGTTATTGTGAGGGGTCCGAATATGCAAATGTGTCACTCACTCGCTAACTCGCTCACTAAGATGTTAGCAGATCGATAATTAAACGTTTATCGGTCGTCCTACGTCATCTGATTAAGAACGTTACACGACACTAACAARTACGAAGCTCTTATACAATATAGACTACATTGGTTATTTATATGAGGAAATGAAATGCTGATTAAACATGTGGGATACATATTCCTAGCACTGTGGACCCACTGAGCATGCGCATACTCGCACATACTTTTCTCTTGGGAATATTTATATTTAATGAATCAAGGAAAGATGCAAGTTGATGTAAAAATATACAATTAACGCCTGAACTAMAATTTTAATGAGTTAAACCTCTTTTTGYTGATGTATTGAAGTGAACAGGAAYGCTTATGAACAATCGTCAACATATTTAGAATTTTTCAAAAGACTCGTGGGTCGAGCCGGATGCATCGAAAAAAAGCACTTTTCATTAGAATTCAAAGCGAGATTCAGATTTCAAGCTTTGGAGGAATTTATTCTCATTTCCCGCATCATATGAAGAAACTCTGCCGCCATGCTTGCGCCTGTGGTTAGTAGAATGTCAGCGGCTTCCTATCTCAAGCAAAAACCTCCTCCCCTTCTCCTCCCCCTCCCTCAAAGGCTTCCCMTCTCAAGATCACTGAAGCGTAAACGAAAATATAAAAGTCGAGTTGAAAATGTAAGAGGTCGAGTTCGAAATATGATGCGGTGAATTGAAAAATGTACCCAGCGTGTGTCGAATACCAAACTTGGAGATCAGTCATATATAGGGTACCGGTTCAGGTAGTTCAGTCCACAGCTTGGAGTTGAAAATTGCGGCATCCGACTTRWAAGATACAAAAGAAGAGTTATACAKTCTCGAATGCCATATAAACTTGCATGTCGAATTTAAAACATGAATGTAGAATATAAAACTTGCATATTGAATTTAAAACATGAATGTAGAATATAAAACTTGAATGCTGAAGTTCAAAACTTGAGCGTAAAATTCGAAACTTGAATGTCGAGTGTAAAATTTGTATGTTGAATTTGAAACTTGAATGTCAAATTCAAGGCACGAGTTTTGGCGGGGATCGTACGCCATGTTACTGCYGCGGCAGCCATGTCTATTCTCATGAGAATAAAAGCCTTTTTACTTACTACCCATACCCATTATGCTTGCTGGCATGTAGGGCAGCAACAAACGATGAGGAAAAACTTTGTTTAACCTGCATAAATTGATTATCAAATATGAATGCGACGCTCCGCATGGAAAAACCTATTGTTCAAGTCAACATAATTGCCGCATGAGTAAGGCCCATTCACCCATRCATTCACTTATTCATACATACCCCCTTCACCTATCCATCAATTTTGATCTCGTTTATTTATTCATTCATTCTCTTTTTTCTCTTTTTGTATGACTAAGTATTCAATAACATTTTCTAGATGTAAAGGGCTTATCCTTCTGGAAACGTACACCACCAAGTCCACAGAAAATCTTGAACTCCCAAGTTTTCTAGAGATTGAAAAGGAAGTAACAAAAGACCCTGATTTTTCCATGTACCACTTGTCCCTCAAGCAATAAAGCAGATATCATATGAGTGTGGAAAGTGAAAAAGTTGTAAGTATTAGTAGAGGTGTAAAAATTTTGTTTCAAATGTAACCAAGAATTATCRTTGGACGAACAGTTGTATGAAAACAATGGAAAGCCATTTCAGTGTTCTGACATATCATAAACACATGCACGGTTTTAATGTTGCAGTATATTTCCCACTTACAGCTATTTCACTAACAAGGTTGAATACTATGGGTCTCTTCAATTTGAAATAAAAAGGAAATATACAGAAATTAACTCTCTAATTGTAGTTAGTATATTGTTTCAGATGGAATACACTAAAAAACCAATGAATAATTATTCATTCTACTTTAGGCAATGTCATTATGACCCACAATGCACTTCGGTCTTGGAATCACTTCGGTGTTGAAGTGCACTATTTAGTATGCAGTATTCAACCTTTTTTGAAATAGCTGTATACTTTGTCTGCTGTGATATATTTAATGTAGTTACTATATTCTTTGTGTCCCTTGTCAATTAGAGTTCATTAGGTTAGAAACCGGTTTCACATTCCTAAAATAGAAAAAGAAAATTAAGAAATTAGAAAAATGGGACCTAAATATTCTGGACCCACTGCTGATATCGCATACCTAATAGCATTTTATTATCTTCTTAATATTATACATGAATAAAGTTCTCGGTTCTGATTGTAAGAGCTAAACACAGTGCAGAAAAAAGGAAATTCTGTGCAGAAAAAAGGAAATGCAGTGCAAATTKTAAGTTTTCAAAAACTGTTTTCAAATAAAACGTTCCTTAATTCTGCTGTCTTTAACATTAGTTACAATCAAAACCTTATAGTTTYATGGTAAATGAGCAATTATGATGGAGAAAATGCAACAAAAGTTAATGATTTTGTTTTGTTTTGAGAATTAAAAAATTTTGGTAGAAGAGAGCTCGCTTCTGGCGCATAACGTGATCGAGAGCGCGCTCATAGTTTTTTCTTAAGATTTTTGCTCTTCAGCAAAATACACCATTTTCCTTTTCAATTTTTT